TGGTAAACGCCCAAGACTGGCCTACAACATCTTGGTCCGCTCAAAGGAATCGGGGGGCTTAGCCCTACCTGACTTTAAAACCTATTACTACGCGACGCTTCTCGCCCACATCCTTGACCGAAAATTTCAGGGAGCTCACAAGCTCTGGGTCTCCCTGGAATCATTTGTCTCACTGGTACTCCCTTTCTCAATACCCTGGATTGCAGCTACCCATCGCCCCCACTCCTCGAAGCTCCCTTTTACTTTTCCGCCCCTCCTGAAAGTGTGGAACCTTCTGACTAGAACCCACGATCTGTCTCCCCCTGAGGGACCCATGACCCCCATAATGGATAACCCAGCGTTTCAGCCGGGCTGCGTCTCCTCCAGCTTCCTTTGTTGGACATCTGATGCGCCCTCACCTTTGGTCGAGGCTCTCACGGGAATACATTTGAAACCTCTGTCTGCACTACTTGCGGATCAGCCCCACAAGCCGGGATCGTGGTTGCTCTATTTTCAGCTTCGTGTATTTTACGCTACCTTGAGAGACCAGACCACCCTACAACGCCCCCTCTCCTGGTTTGAGTCGCTTTGCTGTCAGGATGATCCACCCACTCATGTCATTTCCTTACTATATGGTCAATTGCTGGCAATGAGATTCCGGGGCCGCCCCCCGTTTATGACAAGATGGGAGTCAGACCTGGATATCGTACTCTCTGATGAGGAAATCCGAACCTCATTTATGATCACCCATAAGCTCTCGGTGGCTAGTTCAGCTCAGGAGAAGGGCTATAAAATTCTGACCCGCTGGTATCATAGCCCGACTCTCTTGCACAAAATATTCCCCCGATAGGTCCTCCGCTTGCTGGAGGTGTCTGAACACAGAGGGCACCCTTCTACACATCTGGTGGATCTGTCCACTACTTGTACCTTTTTGGACCCAGGTCTTCGACATATATAACCAGATGATGGGGACTGACATGACACCATCCCCTAAAATAGCTCTCCTTTCTATCTTACCTGGCTCCTTTGCTTCGGTGAAGAGGGACCTACTGCGCTTCTTTCTGGCTGCGGCACGGAATGTTATCCCCCGCCATTGGAACACGGTGGTCGTACCGACCGTGCAGGAATGGATTGCCGAGCTGTGTTTGATCATGCGCTTTGAGGAACTGACGGCTTCATTACATTAGCGTCAGGCTCAATGTGCAGTGTTATGGACGCCTTGGATTCTATATATGGGCACAGCGGCATTTTTGGCCTTGTAATGGGAGTGGACCTCCTGTGTTGGGGGAGACTGGTGCACCGTCGCTAAGGCGTCTATCTATTGTCACTGCGGACCTATCTAGTTTGCTGGATTCGCTGGAGCCTCCTTTTCCCCCTATGTGTCTCCCTTAGTGTCTACTCTTCATGTCTCTTCTACCCCGGTCTTGTGTTGTGTGTATACTTTTCCCCTCACTTGCCTATGCCTACGTTCTCTGGTCCGGCCGTATCATCTCACCCCATGCCTTATATGGGAAATGCGCGGTAGTGTAAACATGCTTCTTACAACGTGCTGATGCCCCGGTGTCTCACGGTACATACGAATTGAATATTAAGCCGAAAGAGCATAGACATAACTATTCTAACTACATATGTGCCATATTGGAAGTTATTGCGTATGAAGGTAATATGTGGATGGTCGGACGTGCCTGCCCTATGTATCTATGTATCTATGCTTGTATGTATTTTTGTACTTTTTGTATTGAAAACCAAAAATAAAACTTTTATTATTTAAAAAAACATATATTTTTTACAAAATTGCTGTTGGATTCTCATTGAAGAACGAGGTACCCACTCTTGGGCTGTACTGTCAACAGCAGACACGGGAGCCAGAACCATTTATCTAGCATGTTGCTGCTGACATCAAATACATATACTGTACATGCCCCTCACTCACTGTTAATATGAACCACAATTGTGGATTAACTACTCATTTATCCCCCAACTCTATATCACAGTATGTGGACCTGATGGGGAACTGCAGCAGAGGGCGGGTACAATGCTAGTTTACTATTGGCTATTGCAAATTGAAATAGGCAATAGTAATGTCCCAATGCTTTTCAATGGGGAAATTCTGGCGCTCCGTGTCAGAATAAAGAAAAAAAGACACAGCTGTGTTTCTCTCCTTGGTGGCCGGGAGCAGGAGACTCCCGGGCCGCCAGGGAGAGTTAGCTGTTTGGAGGTCAGTGTCCGTGTTTAGTAGGTAACCAGGGATGCTGATCTTTCTGAAAGTGGCCGGAGCCAGCCGTAAGATCACGGCTGGCTCCACCCAGCTGTCAGAAGCAGGCTGTCGGCCGGCTGCTCGGCCAGCTTCGGCTTTCAGCATGGCTCAGCCGATGCATATGCGTTCGGCTCGGCTGAGTCGCTCGGCCATGATCGGGAGCTGTACGGGCTATTGTGAGTAGCCCGTACAGCACCCCTTCGGTTCTACTGAACCGAAGGGGTCCTGGGGCCGAAGCTAGCCGAAGGATCGGCCGAAGCTATGGCCAGATCCTTCGGCAGCTTCATGAATAGACCCCATAGTCTGAACGCTGCAGCCTGTCCTCATAAATCTGAACAGAAATACTGGGAGTAAATACCTTTGGTTAGGAATATTTCTCACATTATGAAAGCTGAACAGAGTTTTTAGGGTTATAAAATCTTCTTACTGAAGAGCTTTTAGTAACATCACTATTTATCAGCAGTTGAGGAAACACAAATATATTTTTTCTGACTAATAAAATCAGTTAGACAAGGATTAAGCTAAAATAATGGAATCATAAATTCCAACTATAAAAAGTTTGAACTACCCATGCAACTTTCAAATCAGAAGCAGTGATTTATGTATGAGTATTTTGACATATATATTACTTATGATAGATATTCTCTTGTAGATGCTTGTGTTCAGCTGCTTATGTTCTGAACACATACAGTATTTTACATATTTTATTAACTAGATTTCTGTATTGGCATATTATGACCATACTTTAGGGTGCATCTTACTCACAGGGCACTCAGTAGGATGTGCTTGCATATAAATGAGAACACTTTCTAGAAGCCAAAGAACACCACTTAAAGAAGTCTCACTAATACTTAATTTTTTTCTATTCCACAGGGGACCAAATGCATAAAGCACTTGGTTTCATCCCGATCAGTGGCCCCAATGCAGAATAAAAACACCTTTTTATTTATGTTAATACTGTCTGTAGCTCCACCCTAGTCTGTAGCATAACGTATAGGTATTTCTGTGTGGGAAGGTACACCCAGCCCCCTCTCTCAGCTGACTGTTTACTATAATGAATGAATAATCAGTGCTACAGGACTTGTTTCCGTATGAGGTTTATGCCAAATCTCCATGGACATATGTATATACTTTTTGTAAATAACCATATTCTATGCTGAATGGTCGAGACAAGAGACAGTAAGATCCACAAACACTTCGGAGCCAAGACTCTTTATCTTTAAAATAGCTGCATACTCTCTTTTGTCTGTGGCCAAGAGCTTCAAAAGATCATTGTAGGTAGATAAATAATAAGATTGTCCACCTTTGTTTAGATACAATCATGACCTGTGGTTAGCCTCTGGACACCTGCGCATGTGAAATGTACCCTCCAAAACTTTTTAAAACAGTAGCGTCATTAAGGATTTGCATAGAAAGGGGCTGGAAGTTGTAATAAAGAGCATTTGGAAATATCCAATTCCCAGAGAAGGATTCTAATTTGATTAGATTAAGTATTGAAAGGCCACCAATCGATGGCCCTCAATACTTCCTTGTGGACACCAGAAATATATCAATCCAGACTTTGGAAGAAAAATTTGTCTTTTTAGACCACCAGAATGGGTCCCTCATGTGACAATTAATGGGTAAATATACAGGTACTCCATCAGCACTTATATGTCTATCATTTGTCTTATATATAAATCAATGTCTGTATATTTTGCATGCTTACATCTTTTCTTTGTGCCTTGTAGCTAAATAGATTGTTGGTTCACTGTATTTAAGTCTTAATACTATATACCAATATATTTCTGTTATTGTGTTGAGCTCAAAAATCTTATGATTGAATCCTCATAACCATATACCTGTAGGTGTAAACGCTTATACAGTGAATCACAACTTAAACTAGTAATTTGGGTAACAGACTGTGTGATAAAGCTACTGGCTGCTAGTACATATACAGGGCAGTGGAAGTGTTCATTCATTAAAAGATCATGTAGCACTTCAGGGCTATGTGATCTATTTGCCAGGGCAGCTTTTAAATACACAGCCCTGACAGATAGATCATAGTCCATCTCTTATGAATGGCAGCACTGGTCTTCAGAGTGGCCCCTGCTGCCAGAGCAGCTTGCTAGCAGTGTGGTTGTATAGAGGTGCTATATGCACTTTGTCCCCTAATGGATGAAATAAGAATTACATTATTTTAGTGGCACTTCTACTGTGGGGCATTTACTAAATGGGCCAGTTTATTTAGTGTTAACTTTGTCATAATTTTAGGATATGCAGACATGCATACATTGTTTTTTGGGACAAATAAAACTTTATTTTGGAAAAAAAAACAAAAGTGAGTAGGGAGCCATGGGTATCACCCAAGCTGCATTTTTAAAAATCTGCCTTTTTTCATTTCCATTACATGAGGTATGGGGAGATTAGTAGTTACTGAAGGGAGTTAACATTCTCTATGCTTTTATTTCAAACCACATAAAGTAACAAGGATGCAAAGATAACTAATGCAGTCACCACATTTAAGGACTAAACTGCAAAAAATAACATTTTCATTCATGGGTTTTTTTGTCTTTCAAAACATCTTGGGATCCAGTGGTAAAAAGAACGAGATATTTGAAACATTTACAATGAAAACTGAAAATTCAATACATTTCAATCAAATTATCCTTTAAACAACCACATTCGAAAACCTTTTTAGCACCAGTTAGTTTCAGCCATGACCTCATGGTACAGCTCTTTTCCTTTTTCCTAATAAACAAAAGTATTAAAAGACATTCCATACCTTAAAAAATGTCATTGTTGCACCATCTTGAACAGCTCCATATTCAATTTTAGTTTGTTTAGCTAAATCATCAGCAGAATCGATTGGGGATTCCATACGCTCCACTGTGAGAAAGGCAGCTAAGTTGGCAGTATATGAAGAAATGATGATAAGAGTAAAAAACCACCATATTCCTCCCACTATCCTTGTAGAAAGAGCTTTAGGCATAAGTTCAGAACCTAGTAGAAATCAAGGGATATATTACAAACATGATTCAAGTTAACTGAGAACTCTATACACATAATTCTAAACACAAAACAATACACTAGTAGCACTTAAACATTTCTGTGCCAATTGTCAAATGGATTTTGAACTGACATTACAAGAAGTCTGCACAAATTGTGAGGCTGTAAACAGTTTAAAAAGAAGCACTAAAATAAATAAAACTGAATCATCAAAGAAAAATGTCCAAAAGAAAAACAATCGAGTGGAAATAAATAAGGTGTAATTAGTATGCTTTTACATACAATCAGGTCTGATTTGAGCCAGCTCTGTCCAATATAATTTTCATCAATAAAAGTCAAGCTGGCAAACAGAGGTTCACAGAGTAAATTTTGTTCAAACTCAGGAAGGAAATTGCTAAGAAAAGTTGGTCAATGCTATCTGTCTTGTGAAAGTTAGACAATGATGACTAAATCTCTTTTTATTGCTGAACCACAGGCAGAGCCATACTTATTACATGAAGAAAGTTTGGAATAATGAAAATGTACCTGTCAACATTTTTCCATGAACAAAGCATTAAACCGTCAATGAGTTTTAAATTATCCCTAAAATATTATCCAGTAAAGTAAAAGCTTTTTTTTCAAACAGTTATGTTTTAACAAAAGAAAAAATGTCCAAAGTAGGATATATGGTAACAGGATGGAAACCACTATTCACAATAATGAACATTAGGGCATGATTGGGATGTCTATCCAGACCTATGAATATATGTTTTGGGGACCCACACATAAAAGAAAAATTGACCACCATGTATCTAGTGAAACCAAAAAAAAAGCATTTTTATCACAAAACATTCTACAGCAATCAAGAACTTTAAATGAGACCTTAAAAGAACTATTCATGCTTGAAAATCTGCTGACGCAATAAAGAGTGAGACTGAATTGTTCCAGAGCATTGTGACACTATGGTCAACAGCTGCTGGAAGTGTATTATTGCAGACAGTCCCTTTAATGGGCCCACGGCCAGATACTGACATTTCAATATCTTTCACTCAACAAAATGACATGTAAATGTTACCTTCAAAACTGGAAAAAGAATCTGACAGCATTTCAATGTGAAAATGCTTTCGATTAGAAAAGGAGGAAAAAGAAGTGTATGTGTTGTTGTGTGTATGTGTTAAATTTCATTAAAAAATTGTGAACATTAAATAAAGACATAAATATGCTTGTATGTAAAAAACTTTCCCCTATTATTTGATCACTGAAAGCTGGGTATTTATAACTGATATAAATACACAGACTACTATTACTACCCTGAAAGTGTCAGCTTGCTGGCTCTCTCTGGCCCTGAATTGGATGTCCAGCCCAAAATATTAGGTTTGATTCGAAGGTGGAAATAATTAGAACCTCTGACAGGTTTTTACTGCTAACTGGAGGGACCATGCAATAACAACATGAATACAATTATTTTCTTTAGTAGAATAAGGAAAGATTTGTATTTCTTCTCTTGTCCCTGTTGAAGATTTCCCCTTACTTCCTTTATGCTAAAAGCACTGTCAGCAGGACAGGAAGTATGGAGAAATCTCACTAACAAAAAATCAGATAGCAGTAAAAACTGGGGTTCTTACCCTCCCCACTGTAATCTAAATTACAAAAAAACTGGCTTGACATACACTTAAATATTTTCTAGATTTTCTTTCTAGCCAATTCAAAGATAGACAGAACCCTGATTTCCATACCTGTTTTGGGCCTTTAACTCAGAAATGATTGAAGCCTTTGGTTCATCAAAAGAGTATTCGGCAATAGCATCCTGCATATTTTATCAGTACAGTTTTTTTAAATTCAGATTTTTTCCCATATTATGGAAACATATTATGTTATTTTGTAACTTTAACGGCAGTCTTTTGGTCAATTATTTATTTGTAAATTTGTAAAACATTTCAATTGAACAATGTTTCTAATTAAAGTGTATGCATTAACTTAAGCCTTAAATTAATTTAAAGGATTAGAACCCTGTCAAGTTTTTATTGCTAGCTTCATCCTTGCTGGGCAGAGTCAGCCTCTCTATTTGTCCATACCACTGAGACAGAAAGTTATAGTTGTCACCAAAACAAAAGATGAGTAAATCTATGTGAATTCTGGTGACAACTGGGAATTCCTCTCACTTTGTAGACATTTTTTCTCACTTTTAGTTGTGCCCCTGGGACAGCAAGTAAGAGGAAAACTTCTAATTAGAAATCAACACCACAAAATAAACTGACAACATTTATTTCAATGCCACCTAAACAAGCAATGTATACTTACCTTTCCTACACCCCCCATTTCCAACCACATTGCATTTTGTTTAGAGCAAAGAAAAATCCCTGGTACTTCCCTGTATGGGGAGGAGCATGTGACTCAGTTCCCTTCCTTCAGTGTAATAGCAGTGATGCTTGGTGATTGGCTGTTCAATTAAAAATAGGGGTCTGGTATGGATTTTTTTGATGTTTTTATTTTTTATTTTTTGTGGATGGGGTCTAGAATTTATAAATGGTCCATTCATACGTTTCTGGTATAGATGAAAGGAAATGTAATTGTTAATTATATTTTTGTTATTTTGTAAAAGAGCTACTCCCCGTCATACAGTATTTTTTGTATTTTTTGCATTGGTACATGTCCTACTGGGTAGTGCCCAGCTCCGCATTTCTTGAGTGACAATAGTTTTCCTATTAGACTTGAAAATTACTTTGTTTACAAACAGAAGTAGCTGGCGAGAATGTAGTTTAGTGCAAATTGTATTTTTTTCTTTGCAAATGTCACTTTAGGACATCTTGCTATAGGACATCCCACAAGCTTGACACTTCATATGCAAGTTTAGGAAAACACCCAAGTTATTCAAATGAACTCTAAATGTTTAATGTTGCTCTTTAACCATTTATTAAAAGAACTACCCCCTGCAAACAGTATTTTTTAAACCTTTTTTGCATTGGTACATGATCCCTAAAAGCAGTGCCCAGCTCCACATGCACTATGTTTGACAATTCCGTCCCTATTAGTCTTGAAAATGGTCAGAGTTATTTCATTGGTGTTTGCATCAACATTTAATGAACCTTCCACAAACTGTACCCTGATATGTGCATCTTATCTTACTGTCGAGTACTGCAGGCAGAAAAAAAATGGAAAATAATGAACCCTTCCCTCTGACCCTTTCATGACCAGGGGGCATTACTGCCTTGATCCCCAGACCAAATTTAGCATAGCATCATTAGGATTTGTCAGTTAACCTAACAAAAACTATGACTAATTTTGCAAACCAAAAAATATATATACATATGTTTAGATACAAAAAATGTTTTTTTTGTGTGGTCAAGTTTATTACCATAAAACACACCCTGCTGTGTTTAGGTTATAGGGTGACAAATGTGCAATAATGTAAAAAAATGTTTTTGCTTTTTTTGTTTTTTTTAGCTAGTTTATTATTATTTTTAATAGTGCAACTTTATCTGGCAGTTGAAAGATTAAATAGGTGGCACTGCAGATAAATACTGCTGTCTGAAGCTGAAAGTGTTCATCTTCAGGCTGAAGGCTTTTATTCTATTTACACAAAGGGGTTAATTTACTAAAGGCATAAAAGCTTTTTACTTAGCAAGGGAGTTTTCCCTTAGCTTAGTGAATGTGTTAAAAATTCACTTTGTACAGAATACCCAATCAATTTTTTTTTAAACTTTATCTTTCTTTGCACATGATTGGATGATTGAAGTGAGCAGATCTTCCCCTCATTCACTGAGCTGAAGGAAAATTTTCTTGCAAATTGAACAGCCTATTTACCTTTAGTAAATCAACTTCGAAGTGCTGGTAGGTTTTCAAAGGAAAAACCATGTATGAACATAATGTCGGCACCGGGTATCATATCAGGGAAAATAAATCACTTACTACTTAAAAAACAAAACCTAAAAAAGAAATGCAGATGGTCTCTTCCTTTTTAGTCTCATGCCTGGTCCTTAGTTTGTGACTTCCAGCTCCAGAGTAATGAATCCCAATAAGAATAATTATAGTAGGGGATTACTAGAGATTATGAACACTTCAGTTCCAATGCTGTGATTAGCAAGTTACTTCATTCATGCAACATGAAACCTTGTGAAACATCTCCAATTACTTTTAAACATAGCATGGAGCAAGGCATATGACATTTAAATGTCTTTTGCCAAACCAATATCATGTGTAAATACATTTTGGCAACAAATGAAAGCACACCACACCTCAGAACACATTTTTCTCCCCAGTTGCCAATATAATTACAGCAAGTAGCATAAAAATAACAAAAAATACAAATCAAATGACTTTATTTACCAGGCAACAAAAGACATTTCAGCATCTGAAAAGTAATGCCTAAATGAACTGTATCCAATTTTACAAGCATAAATGAGGGTATCAAAATTGTGAATTTTTTACTAAAACAATTTAAAGGATGATCAATTAAGCCCAAATAGTGTAAATGTTTTTTATGCATCCAATTGAATAATAAACAACATATTAAATGTTTTGCTTAGGTAAGCTTTGATAATATGTTTATAAAGCATACAATAGCATGGGAATGTGTGTGTAGGACAAGTAAAACAAAACAGTACACACAACCTATTTACATGGAGGGGGAGATTGGAAATGATAGCTAAGGACTTTTTCACATATGAGGCACTTAGACTCTAGAATATGTGTAGATGTATATTTATTAGCGACATCATTGTAAGCCTTAAAAGAGTCTGAAAATAAACCTCTACTTGCATTTACATATAAAACATAAGTGATGACCATTCCATTTCATTTTAATATTTTTTATTTTAACATCGTTATCAGATAAGTGCAGATGGAATTTCTAATAGAGTCCATCTATTTAATCCACTTAGATGAAAGCTTTGGATTTTTGGATTGTATATGTTAAGGAGTATGAGCTAGAAAATGATTTGAGATGTATGAACAGAAAACTACTGCATATCTGGAAAAGTATTCTTCTCTCACAGCTCCCAGCTTATGGCAGACAG